AAGTATTACACAAGCTTCTCGTGGGTTATCATATCATCTTAAGCAAATTTTATATAAATAGTATTCGAGCGTCTGTATCATATATATATATATATATATATATATATATATAATTGATTTTATACCCCTCTTCAATTGCTTACTGAAAACCATTTAGCCAAAGTCTGCACCGATCCGGACTAAAAATCAAGAGACAAAATAACCAGAGAAAAAAACGAATTAGAGTTCTTTTGGACTCCTTTCTTGACCTCTTTTTATAACTTTTCGATAAACATATGCTCCTTTGATTTACACGCAAAAAGTCTACGTTGAAGAAATATTGAAATGAATCAAACATGCGATAATTCCGGGGAGCAGATCAAAAACATTGTAATGAACAAAAACTATCCCGTACCCCTTTGTGTCATGCTCGAGGATCTCTGCAACTCACTTTTAATCGGACAGGAGACATATTTGCGCAATTTCAAATCTGATTTAGTGATTCCAGTGTTCATGAACATTATGGAAAAAGCCCTCGGAGAGGTAGCAAATGGCGACGTCCTTGTGATGTCCTTTCGCGCGGTTTCCTTGATCATGGAGTTCGTCCCCTCCTCATATAGTGTGGACGGGGAGAACCATTTGTCTCTTCTCAAGCTCGCTGCGCAGGCAATGCACCGCGCGCTCGGCGATAAATTGCCTTTTAGAAACTACAGCTCCGATGTCCTTATCGAGGAGTGCTTGCGCGTAATTCGCTTTGTTGGGAAAGATGATCGTTGTGGGATAACGTTATCCGTTATCAACGTCAAGGATCTTCTCGATATATGCGGAAATGAGCAGGGTCTCCTTGCAAGGCAGGGTTTAGAAACCTTTCTAACGTTATGCTCGAAAGTGATCTTCCCATCGGAGATGAGCAAAATTCGTGATTCTTTTTTCTTCAAGCTTTTCCACACGGATCAGAAGGTCGAGTCTTCAGGGCAATCCCATCTCAAAGCAAAGCCCCCACACAGTAATCATCCGCTTGTTGTGTGTGTGGAGAATGTGATCGGGCCTTTTTTGTTTGAATTAATTAAAAAATTTAGTGTCCTCGATTCCAATCCGGAGGTGTGGAGTTTATTTGAGATCGCCTTGCAATGCTTAGGGACACTAATTAAACGCTCACTGTTTTGCTATCGACCGAGCACGGCAAGAGCAATCAGTTATAATGCCCTTCCTGCTCTCATTTTTAAAGTGATTTCTCAAATTAATCAAAACATGATTTTGGCAGCAAATACGCGTAATGAGCGGATTTTAATGTGTGAGACTTTTCTGATAATTCTAGCAAGTAGCAATCGCAAGCCGTTGATGGATAATCTCCTCGAACTCAATAGCATTGATTTCTTTAGCTCCCTTTTCGAGCACACCGAATTTAGCATCACCACCTCTCTGGAGGATCCTTTTAAGAAGGTGAGCGACGGTGGGCTGTACAACTCGCAATGGTGTGATAAAGATAACATTATCACCATCTCCGGCATCTATCTTTTTATCGCTGCTCTTCCGCAAATCCCTCTAGAGGCCTTTGGGCGAAAACCGAAATTTCCTTTACCGGTTCATCATTGGATGTGGGAGGATGAGATGCGTCATTCAAATCACATTGGTGAGCTGTCCAGCATGCTGTTGGAGCTGGATTACTTTCGACTTTCCCGCAATGCCTTCATTACGATCCACATGAAGACCCTTCCTGTGGATTTACACCAAATGACGCTTTTTCGCCGATCGGATGCGAACTACCGCAATATCTTTCGCTGCTTTACCCCCTTTGTGTACCGTTACGTGAAGGAGAAGTCTCTACGACCGGTGTTGGAAAAGGTCAAGGAGGACGGTCCGAAGCCGACGGCGGGGCCCACTAAAAGCGTCTTTGACTCGCTTGATTGCCTCAAAACCAAGAGAAGTTATTTGGTGGGGGTCAAACGCCCCGGAATCCTCAAGCTCAACGCCGAGTTTGACAAGGCCAACCCCAGCCTGGACTCCTTCGACAACACCGGCCTCCCGCAGAAGCTGGGAAGTCGGGAGGAGGCCCTGGTGGAGGGGCCGTTGACGGTCTCGGAGCGTTACTTCCTGCCCTTCTGTGCCTACGCTACGCAAGCCCCGGGGCGGATGGCGAAGGAGCTCGCGGTGTGGGCCTGCGCGGCGATGCTGCGGATGAGCCTCCTCGCGGAGTCCACCCATCCCCAACTGGAGCGGCTGCTGGACAACGCTCTTCTGCCCCTTTGTGAGATGGCTCGCCGACTGTTTACAAAGGTCGGGAAGACCACCCTCGCGTTAATGGTGGCGATGGTGGAGTGGCTGCTCTCTCGGGAGGTGGCGGATCCTTTGAGGGTTTCCAGGGCCGCCGTGCGGAGCGGACTCCTCGCGCAGCTCACGGCGCTGAGCGCTACGACCACGCCCACCAACGCGCACCCGCGGAAACGGTCGAAGGAGTCCCTGGAGAAACGCTGCGAGGCGCTGCAGGTGGAGATTACGATGCGGTTTAAACGAAACAGCTTCTTACACGTGGGCACTGAGCACTTTGAAAAGTCGCCAGGAAAAGAGTATATTTTGCAAATGTCGAATGCGATAATCCTTCAGCAGGCACTCCATGCGATCAAGGAAGTCCTGGTGTACTCCCCTGATAGTTCCGATTTAATCAATAAACCCATTGATGCAAGTGATGACGCTAAACCTTTACCATTGTTTGAAAGAAAAATCATAAATAATTTTTTCGTTGCGCTTCAAGCCTCTTCCCACTTGACTTCATACGAGCTCCAAAATCTAGACCTCGCGTCGGTTATCCTGCAGTACCTTTTGAACAACAAAACAACAGAGGACCTCTTTGGGCAGATGTTTGTCCATCTTTCCGGGGCCTCAGGGTCGACTTTTTCGCCATCCCTTACCGAGACCGAGATGGAACTATCCTCGGTTCTGAATAAGCTACAGCTCCAGTGGGTGACTATGATGAATTTCGATACCGACCTCGCCCGTCTGCTTGACCTTCAGAGCCATCAGCCGCGCGTTCGGTACTTTTTTGAGTGTGCGCGGCAAATGCCGGGAGCCTCGGAACTGCTGATTCGTTCTTTAGCGGAATCCCTAAACCAAAATAATGATCTCCCCCTGATCGAGTCGGTGGCCATTCCCGGTAAGGTCAGGCCTCGAACTCCGCTTTACGCGTTTGAGGCGCTGAATAGCATTTCACCGTGCGTTGTTTTATGCTCAAAATCCGGTAAGGTGGCTTCTCGGACCTCTGCTCCGGAAACACCCCTCCACGTAAAGCGAAAGAGCTATCTTCATACGGAAAATCGCGTTTCGGGATCGAACGATCACCCTTCAGAGCCCCAACGACCGCAATCGTTGCTTTCGAAGCCAGTCCAACAATCAAGCGGCTTTACTCATGATGCCGGAGGTAACGCCACTTTTGAGCAGCCGAAAATCGAATCACGGGAAGTGGCAATAGACACCAAAGAACCTCGATCCCCTCTTTTTAAGAAATCGATGAAAAGCCCTCCTCACGAGCAAAAACGAGTTGGTCCTATGCATCAAAGGCCTCCTACCGATATTTTTAGTGATTGGCATAATTATATTATTAACAAAATGCCCATCAAGCCACGGCATTCATCTCCAGAAAAGTGTACTAAGGACCGTGTCCATCTTTTCTCGTCTATAGGTGATATCGAGCGCCTTTTTCGTCTCGGAACGACCTCATCTAAGGGTTCACAAAATGCACCAGGTCCTGTCACTTCCTTAAATATTGAAAGACTCATCACTCGCGTGGAATCCTTTTTAGAGCGCCAAATTACTTCTACTCAAGCCACAGAAAAAGGAAAGGGTGGGGTTGAAGTAGCTCGATTGCTCAAATCGAATCGTTTGCTCCTTCAGAAGGAGCTGGAAAATGCAATTTCGCTTCTTCAAACTTTGCGAATTCCTCCTGTGGTGTGCGTGCCTTCTGAACCCACACCTGGGAAGCCTAAAGAGGAATTTACCTCGCATAGTACGTTGAAGCTATCCGAAGAACAAGCTGCAATTGCCTCGAAGCTGATCTTACAAGCGATCGAAGAGCGTTATATTCTCTATCGTCCTTTCACCTGCGGCCCTTGCCCTTTGCAATCCACGTTTTTGAGTCATCTTTATCATCAATGTGTGTTAATGGGAAATAAGGACGCACTTTTACAACTGGAGGATGCGTTATTAACTCTGGACCCAGAGGAAAATAAGAGTGAGAAGAAGATTTTGCAGTCCACACCAATAGAAGGACAAGAAAGAGATACAGACACCCCTTCTTTGTATTTGGCATCTAGGTCGTTTGCTCGGTTTTTACTTCCCCCTAAGAACTTTTCAAACTTCCAAAATTCGCCCAATACGAGCACGGAAGGAAAAAAAAACCCAGGAAGCCGCTGAATCTATTACTGACAATTCAGGAGGCTTTATCGCGCCTCGTCATGTTGTGGTTTTTCATCATTTCGAAACGGACAACGATGTTAAATGCGCCTGTGGAACGTACAATCGGGTAGATTTCGCCTCCGTCGAGGTAGGCTTGGCAATGAAGACGCTGCCCAAGCTCGCGCGCTCTGCGGATTTGCTCTTGTTGATATTTCTACACAGTCATTTTCGCCATTTTGACAAAGGTGTGAATCGTCTTAGCACCAATGATCACGATGCGGTCAGCATCGCGCGGGCGCTTTGGCAGCAGTTGGAACGCACTAACGCCTTTGTAAGCTCCGTAGTGACCGCGACCGCGATTAATGCGCTTCGGGCCTCTGCTCTGCGGGTGAGCCTACTCCCTCCGTCCTATGCTCTCCCGAAGTGGTTGAATTTTGTCTTTCAGCACGCCTCTTTTTTACTACCGAGGAAAGTCCGCCATCACGCCGCGCGGTTTCTCGCGTACGGCGCGCGGCGCTGTCTAGTGAATCATATGCGCGGGATCCGCTTTGATCGCTTTGCGCGGACCCGGACGATACTCCCGGGGGAGTGGGCCCGGGCCTCGAATCACAAATTCCCCGTGGACCGCTCGCGTCTACTGCCGGATGCCTATACGATCCTGAGCAAGTCCGCCGACCTCCGGCTGCCGATCGCGATGGAGTTCCTCGGCGATCTTGGCGTCGGCCAGGGCCCGACCGCGCAGTTCTACACCCTTCTTGCCAAGGAGTTCTGCACAGAGCGGCTGCGGCTTTGGCGCAACTC